TCACAGCTATTACTTTTATCTCCTACTCTCACACAACACATGCTGGAAGTCTAAGCATATGGAAATGAAACCTCTGAATAGCAAAATGGGCCAATGGATCACTGATGCACAAGACTTCCAACCACTCCTGCAATAAAAAGACATTGGAAAATTTCTCATTTCTCCTTTTATGCTAAATTAGGATATTACCCAAAATAATACCCCCTCTCTACAGCTCACCTCAATTATTCCTTGGATGACTGCCTCTAAACATCCACAGCTTTTTTTCATGTTTCCACTGGGAAACCACAGCAGACTTGCACAGTTATCACTCTACTCATAGGATAAACTCAGGATGGGCTAGAACAGTACAGATGAATGTGTTTCCCTAAATGGGAGGAACTCCATGATTTAATGGGGTAAACATTGTGTTGCTTAGTGTGTAAAGGAACAAAATGAAAATGCTAAATACTGTAACATTTTAGAAAATGTAAAGGTAAATGAAAATTCCCTCAAATGACGTGGCCCAAATCAATAGGAAGCCCCAAGATCCAGGTGACAATGTCCAAACTCATGAGCACATATTCTATAAACAAAATGTTTAACAGTTGCAAAAACAAAGATGAACCATGTCTGTATCTTTATCTTTATGGGGAATCTTTACTGTGAATCACAGGAATGCAGGATTTCTATACTGGTGCAATCTATTTAATTACACAGCCAAGCAGTTCCTAAAAGAGTGTTTAAGATGTATTATATGGTAGAAATTCAGTGATCAATAATGACATCATCATTCACTGAGGCACCTACCCTCAGAGAAAAGATATATACACACCACAGGTTCCCTATTTTCTCACATTATTGCCTTACATTCCATCAGAGCCCTTATTTCCATCTATAAACCAAAGCTTTACCATTTACCATATCTCTTTTCCCACAAAAATATAAGCACCAGGAATGCAAGAACCTGTTTGTCTCATGCTGCTGTATCCAAATCCTACAGTGCCTTGATTATTTGTGCTAAATGTGGTACGCTGACTCTAAAGTGCATGGCAATGAGGGATGTTGAAACATTAGCATTAAGAGTATAGTCGACCCAGCAATCCCACTACCACACACATACCCTGAGAAAGCCATAATTCAAAAAGAGTCATGTACCACAATGTTCAGCTCAGCTCTATTTACAATAGCCAGGATATGGAAGCAACCTAAGTGTCCATCAACAGATGAATGGATAAAGAAGATGTGGCACATATATACAATGGAATATTACTCAGCCATAAAAAGAAACCAAATAAGAGTTATTTGTAGTGAGGTGGATGGACCTAGAGTCTGTCATACAGAGTGAAGTAAGTCAGAAAGAGAAAAACAAATACCGTATGCTAACACGTATATATGCAATCTAAGAAAAAAAAAAGGTCATGAAGAACCTAGGGGCAAGACGGGAATAAAGACACAGACCTACTAGAGAATGGACTTGAGGATATGCGGAGGGGGAAGGGTAAGCTGGGACTAAGTGAGAGAGTGGCATGGACATATATACACTACCAAATATAAAATAAATAGCCAGTGGGAAGCAGCCACATAGCACAGGGAGATCAGCTCGGTGGTTTGTGACCACCTAGAGGGGTGGGATAGGGAGGGTGGGAGGGAGGGAGATGCAAGAGGGAAGAGATATGGGGATATATGTATAGGTAAAACTGATTCACTTTGTTATAAAGCAGAAACTAACACACCACTGTAAAGCAATTATACTCCAATAAAGATGTTAAAAAAAAAAAAGAGTGTAGTCTCTGAGAAAAAAAGGCTTGATTGCAACAGTGGTCCTCTCTTTCTCCCTTGCTAGGTATGTGTTCTCTCACAAATTACCTAAACTTACAAATATCAGTTGAGTCATAAATGAGATATTAAAAAAGACTTGAACTTTATAGTAAAGGGTGTCTAATACACTGTAGGAAGTACACCAGTGTTTGGATAACAAGTAGGAAAGGCAAAAGCTGTTCCAGAGGACAGGGAACTGGCCTGCATTCTTTGCCAGGCCAAGTCTTTTCCTGGTGAAGAGAAAAATGTCACACACCACCTTCATCAAAGGTATTCGTTGACTATGATGGACCAAGACAAAAATTAGGGTATTTTGTAACCATATCTCTAAAATTGATAAAAGATAAAGCTCCAAATAATAAAAATGACCAGTATACCCCTCTTCTTTCTAATGTAACTGGGGCTTCTTACAAATTAAGTTTAGCTCCACTACACTGTTTTTGCCTTCTAGAAAACAAGGATTATGATAACCAACAAAGAATAAAGTTACCCTCCTCATGGCATCCAATACAGAAAAACGTCTTGCTTTCTTGGGTCGCAGTCAAATCCTCTAAAGCCAAACTCCTATAAGAAGAAGTCCTTCTGAGCATCCTGTACTATTATACCTCACATCACTTAATGGTTTGTGCTCATTCTTATTAGAATTCATTACACTCCTCTCTTTGACTACAAGTGCAATCCTGTAGGTCACTGACAAGAGGGCGCTTAAAAAAAAAAACATGATTTAAGTATTTGGTACTAAGAATAAATGAGAAATTAATTTCATAATAAATATCGTAACTACAAAAGAATAAAAAGTAAAATTTGCCTGAGGAAAACATACCTGAACTTGTATGTACATAAAATTGACTTAAATGATTAAGTGAAAGAAAATTGCAAAGTTTATCTGAAAATACATAATTATAAGGGTATCTTTTAATATATCCTGTCAGGAAATGAAATACACAATAATATTTGTTAGCATTGGACAGCTTAGAAAACAGTTAATGATATATTTCTATGAAAGAACTATAGAAGCATTCCTGTAACAAAAAATATACATAGTTTAATCACATACAATCAAACAAAATTGAAAACACTGAGGTATTACATTGAGCTCCAAGAAACAAGAAAAACTCAGTCTCCTGACAGGAGAAAGGTTCTTATTCTCACATGGAAAGACCAAGTGAAGGCAGCCAGTGAACACTGCAGTAGAGAAAAAACTCCCATGTCATTCTTTTTGATTACACCATTGCAGATGTCATGGTGAATCAGGAAAACATACTCACTAGGACTGTTAACAGCACAAGGTGTTTCCTACACAAATCAGACCTTATATGGATATAATCTAGAGAAGAGGGGAATCAAAGAATACTCCCAATCACGACAATCTGATGAGTTTCCTGGTGGACACAAGAGACCCTGGAGAAGCTGGATTTTTGATGTGGATCTTGGGAAGACATCAGTTGAAACCAGAGCTCTCAGAAAAATTGATATCATACAGTTATTTGTGGTTTTGAGGATACTCTTGACTGGAAGGGCAAAAAATATGGAAAATGGGCTGGAAGATGGTATACCTGAAGCTCCTGTGCATCTGTCTCTCTATATGTGAAATCTGACTACTGCCTTCCTCACTTCTGCCTTCCAAATCTTATGCAAGTCAGACTATTGGTAGATTCTAACAAGGAACCACAAAGGGGATGAGTTCTGGAAAATCTAGTTCCTAACATTACCTACAGGGGGAATAACTCCAGCTCTAGATTTTGTTGTCCTATCAGGCCTCTCTTCTTAATTCAAAGTCTATTCACCAAATTACAGTCAGAAGGAAGAACATAAAGCAAAGACCCAAATATGAAAATAATAATTCACATGGAAACTATATTCTTTTATAAGTGAGGCATACATAAATATTTATTCAACTGTTTATTAGTATGGAAAATGGAAAAAGGCTCTTATACTCTTCACCCCCAAAAAGGAGCTTTGTCGGTAAGAAAGATAAATATATATTCTGGACTAGGATAACCAAGAACTGCCACAAGGCCATTAGGAAAATCCAAATACCAAACTGTCATTTTTCAGTGGCCCCTTAACACAGAACAAATAAAACATTATAAAACAATGTTAACCTAATTGCATTATTAGAAACACGCTTCAATTCACCTATGATCCAACAGGTTTCATTTTTTTTTCTTTTTCTTTTTTTTTTGGGGGGGGGTACGCGGGCCTCTCACTGTTGTGGCCCCTCCCGTTGTGGAGCACAGGCTCCGACGCGCAGGCTCAGCGGCCATGGCTCACGGGCCCAGCCGCTCCGCGGCATGTGGGATCCTCCCGGACCGGGGCACGAACCCTCGTCCCCTGCATCGGCAGGCGGACTCGCAACCACTGCGCCACCAGGGAAGCCCATGATCCAACAGGTTTCAAAAAGGAAAGAGAAAATATTAACTGATTTAAAGAAAAAGCACTACCTATTAATCTTACATACTGCTGTGGAAACATATGACTTATAAAATCATCTCACCTTGTATTCATTTCTGAGAGTAATTACTAGAAATCCACCATCCAATGGTGCACTCTAAGAAAAGAGGCTTGATAAAGACAACATATTTACAACTTTAATAACAACTCTTTCCTATTTTCTGGAATGTTATACATAGATTAGTTTCCATCAAGCTTTCTCATGTTACTTACATTTATATTCTTTTTCACATGTAAAGATGTGAGCTCACTGAAATCTTTCCCAAGGCTGTTTAACTCAAGAGTTTTTGTCCAGTGAGTCCTTTCATCCTTTCAGAACTGGGATGACAAGGCTTTCCAACATTCTTTACATTTATATGGTGTCTCTCCAGTGTGTGTTCTCACACATCTTCAAATGGTTTGTGACAAATGAAGGGTTTACCACATTCCCTCCACTCTGATCTTCTGCACATCTTCAAAAAAAAAAACTCTGATAACATCTGAAGGCTTTTCCACATTCCTTACAGTCACAGGGTTTCTCTTCACTATGAGCTCTTTTGCACGTTTCTAATGAAGTGTAATCTCTGCAGGATTTACCACATTGCTTACAAGGTTTCTCTTCTATGGGAGTCCTTTCATGTGTTTTCAAACTTTGAAAATACCTGAAGGCTTTCCTGCCTTGTTTACACTGACAGGCTTTCTCTCCAGTGGGGCTTCTTTCATGTTTTCAAAGTGAAGTTGATCAACTAAAGGCTTTTCCATATTCCTTATTCACAGAATTTCTTCTCAGTATGAACTCTTTTGTGCTTTTGGAAGGAAGTGTAATATCTGAAAGCTCTACCACATTGTTCACATTCATAGGGTTTCTCTCCAGTGTGCAGTCTCATGTGTACTCTTAAGGTCTGGTGATGGGAGAGGGCTTTCCCACATTCCTTGCATTCATAGGGTTTCTCTCCAGTATGAGTTCTTCCATGTGACTGTAAGGAATTGTAATAACTGAAGGCTTTACCACATTGTTCACATTCGAAGGGTTTCCCTCCAGTATGAATTTGTTTGTGTTTGTGAAAGGAAGGGTAATATCTGAAGGCTTTACCACATTGTTTACATTCATAGGGTTTCTCTCCAGTGTGCAGTCTCATGTGTATTTTTAAGGTTTGGTGATGGGAGAGGGCCTTCCCACATTCCTTGCATTCATAGGGTTTCTCTCCAGTATGAGTTCTTCTGTGTGATTGTAAGGAATTATAGTAACTGAAGGCTTTACCACATTGTTTACATTCATAGGGTTTCTCTCCAGTGTGAATCCTTTGATGTATTCGAAAAGAACTAGGAGAAATGAAGGCTCTCTCACATTCCTTACATTTATAAGGTCCATCTCCAGTGTGAGTGATCATGTGTGCTCGAAGGCTTGAGAGACCTCTGAAGGCTCTCCCACATTCCTTACATTCATAAGGCTTTTCCCCAGTATGAATTCTTTCATGTTTTCGAAAAGAACTGGGACAACTGAAGGCTTTACCACACTGCTTACATTCATAGGGTTTCTCTCCTGTATGAGTCCTTTCATGTGTTCGAAAAGTATGATAATATCTAAGGAATTTTCCACATTGTTTACACTGATAGGGTTTCTCTTCACTGTGAGTTGTTTCATGTGTTCGCAATGAAGAGGAACAATTAAAAGTTTTCCCGCACTCCTTACATGTATATGGGGCATCTCCAGTGTGTGTTACCATGTGTCTTCGAAATGCTGTGCTCCACATGAAAGCTTCCCCACATTCCTTACATTCATAGGGTTTTTCTCCTGTGTGAATCCTTTCATGTGTTTGAAAGGATGCGCGGGAATGGAACGCTTTTCCACATTCCTTACATTTATATTTTTTCTCTCGATTGTGATTTTTTTCATGCGTCTCCAAAAACTGGAGATAGCTAAAGGCTTTACCACATTCCTTACATTTATATGGCTTCTCTCCATGTTTCTGATACTCATATGGTTTACGTTCAGTGTGACAGCTCATGTGTCTCTTAAGGGATGAATGACGCGTAAAGACTTTTCCACATACACTGCATTCACGTGGTTTCACTCCAGTAGTTTTCTTGTTCAGATTGAGATTTGGAATAAGGCTGAAGTTTTCTCCACATTGACTACCCTCTTTACTTTCACAGAGTCTCTCTACCACATGACTTCTGTAAAAAAACAAGGAGTATATTATCAATGAGGTCTTTATTAACAATTTTATACTCAATAGTAGGATATTTGAAGTACATTTTTATCACTTATAGCAGTAGTGTAGGTTTTATGCCTTGTCTGAATTGTTTCAAGTTGAATATAAGAAATGCTCTTGCAATCATCAAAACAGTGACATTCATATAGAGTTTATTTATAGTGTTGAACTATTTTGCAAACACTGAACATTTATGTCACATAAGAAAGTAATTTTGGTGAAAATTTTCTAAGAATAACTAAATTTGGAGCATGCATTATTTCTTTTAGTTCCTTCTTTTAAAACTGCATAACATAACAGGATACTCACATGAGGCACTATTTTATATTGTGAGTGTGACTTACCTTAGTTTTCTCCCCTGGTTTTTGTACTGATCTTCAATGTCATGATCTTCCCATTTTTCTCCTAAATTGCAGACCAAGAAAAATGATTCCAAGATATTAGAAGTTACAGAAAAACTATCTAAGTCCATTGTTGGCTGTGACCATGCCTAGTTTATTTAGCAACATCCTGCATTTCCACATTCAACATCTTGGAACAATGTTAATGAGCAAGAAACATGTGTTCTCTAATTGACAAAGTAAAGGTAAGTTGTCATCCTCACCTACTGAGGCCAGGTTCCTCAACGTTTCCCGCATCACATCTCTGTAGAGTTTCTTCTGTGAAGGATCCAGTAAAGCCCACTCCTCCAGGGTGAAGCTCACAGCCACATCCTCAAAGGTCACTGAGTCCTAAAACATCCCAGATATGTGTATAGTAGGATGTGTGAGACTAACAGCACTGGACATCTGTACACCATTTATACGAAGGTTACGTATGATTCTGTCACCTCCAAACATTTATTCTATGACTTGGTCATCAGAAACTTAGTCTCTGTCCATACTTCCTCATAAGTTTAACAGCATCGTGAAAACATGCAAATTATTTACATAGTTTTATTGTGATTTCGTCACATCTTATTTCTCTCTAATTGCAGGGTCCAGAGCATGTTGGGAAATGACAGAAATGCTACACACATGAAACAAATATCATTTTAAGATCATGGATTCCTTGTGAGGAAAACTCTTTCCTTGCCCTTCTTATTACCCACCATTTACAGCACACCATGAGCCAAAGGGTCAAATCTGCATAAGATTTTACTAAATAAAAACACAGTGAAAACTAAAAGCTTTTACTTCTATTCCTATCACCAAACATGAGAATCCAGAACACCTGTAGAAATCCAGCTTTTAATAAGGTCCAGCTGGCTATTTCATCCCTAAGTACTCCAGGCCTTTAGAAGTAGTGTGGTATGATGTAGCTGGTGGAATGAAAATATCCTTGTCAGGAAGTATTGCTTTTAACTTGTGTAATACTTACCACAGGCTCAGTTTCCCCTTTCTCTCTCTGGTTTGATGGACTAGAAAGTTGTTTGGAACTTAGAGTTCAGATACTAGGAAGAAGATGTCACAACTTAGATCACAAAGTCCCTATACTTGTGCACCTTGGGGCTGCTTAGAGGCACACAAAGTGCTGTAGTATGCCAGAAGAGCTCTTTATGGCAGAACCAGAACACTGGGCCCTGTGCCTTGTTGACCTTGAGGAACAGCTTCAGACTGCAAGTGTGTTCACTGAAAATCACAGTGGATTCATGGCTAATTTGCCCATAAAATATATGAAGGATTCAGCAGTGCTTTCCTCCAAACAACTCTAAAATCTCCATTTTCAAACAGCAGGAAGAAGTGTTTCCCAACCAGCCATTCTAGAGGCTGTTCTCCCAATTTCTCTAATTCCCAAGCTCCTATCTGGTCTACAGAAGTATGATGGCTTGACCACTGAGCATACGAATTCCTTTGTTGATGACACCACATACTATCAATAGTGAATGAAAGGGTTTACTTCCATAATTGAGGTCTCTGGGGAAAGTAAGGCATACTTCTCCAGCTGCCATGAAATGGCTTGAGAGAGAAACAAAAGGTGCCTGGACTTTTTTTTTTAAATTGAGGTTAGGGGGTGGGTTTGGGTGAGGGTTCACACACAAGAACAGGATCTTATGAGGACTGACTGTTTTGCTACTGCCAAAGGAAGGAGCACCAAGGCACTCTCATCACTTTGTATAGATGTGGGTCAAAGAGAAATGAGGGGGGATGAGACTTTAAGGTTGTCAGCAGCCAGTCATCAAAAACTGGAGTCAGAGAACTCTGGTTTCTGGTTTTGGATGCCATCATTCCCAATCTCATAGAAAAAAGTGAAAACACTTGAAATCAACAACTCTTCTTAGTTCCATCAGAGCTCTGAAGTCACAGGAAACCACTGGTTTCAAAATTGGGAAACAGAAAATAAAGATACAAGGCCTATACTGAAAACAATCTATTTCACCAGAAGCTAGTTCAAAGACAAAAAAGAGCAAACAATGCAGAACACAATATCCATGAACTGTAGGACAATGACAGAATGTTTAAAATACACACAATGGAAATACCTGAAGGAAAAGAAAGACAGAAAGGAACAGAAGAAATCAGTGAAATAATAATCACAGATTTCTTCAAAAATTAATCATTGATGGCAAACCACAGATCCAGGAAGCTCAGAGAACACAAAATGAAAATGCTAAAAAATGTACACCCACGACGCAGTGGTTAAGAATCTGCCTGCCAGTGCAGGGGACATGGGTTCAAGCCCTGGTCCAGGAAGATCCCATATGCCACGGAGCAACTAAGCCCGTGCACCACAACTACTGAAGCCCTAGTGCCTAGAGCCCGTGCTCTGCAACTAGAGAAGCCACTGCAATGAGAAGCCCACGCACCGCAACGAAGAGTAGCCCCCACTCGCCACAGCTAGAGAAAGCCCGCACAGAGCAACAAAGACCCAATGCAACCAAAAAATAAATAAAATTAATTGAAAAAAGCACACCCAAGTATATCACATTCAAACTGAAGAAAAAGAATATATTGAAAAGAGCTAGCAGAAGAAACACCTTAGTTATGGAGAAAAAAAGATTTAAAAAATGTTTTATTTTATTGAAGTATAGTTGATTTACAATGTTGTGGTTTTTTTTTTTTAAAAGACCTGTCCTTTGTTTTATAAATTTATTTATTTATTTTTTTCTGTGTTGGGTCTTCGTTTCTGTGCAAGGGCTTTCTCTAGCTGTGGCAAGCGGGGGCCACTCTTCATCGCGGTGCGTGGGCCTCTCACTATCGCGGCCTCTCTTGTTGCGGAGCACGGGCTCCAGACGTGAAGGCTCAGTAGTTGTGGCTCACGGGCCTATTTGCTCCGCGGCACGTGGGATCCTTCCCAGACCAGGGCTCGAACCCGTGTCCCCTGCATTAGCAGGCAGATTCTCAACCACTGAGCCACCAGGGAAGCCCAATGTTGTGCTTTTTAAAAAATATATATATATTTATTTATTATTAATTTTATTTATTTACTTATTTAGGCTACACCGGGTTTTAGCTGTGGCATGCATGCAGGATCTAGTTCCCTGACAAGGGACCAAACCCGAGACACCTGCATTGGGAGCTCAGAGTCTTACCCACTGGACCACCAGGGAAGTCCCTACAATGTTGTGTTAATTTCTGCTGTACAGCAAAGTGAATCAGTTATACATATATATTCTTTTTCATATTCCTTTCCATTATGGGTTATTACAGGATATTGACTATAGTTCCGTGCTATACAGTAGGACCTTGTTGTTTATCCATTCTATATATAATAGTTTGCATCTGCTAATCCCAAACTCCCACTCCATCTGTCCCCCACTCCCTCTTGGCAACCACTAGTCTGTTCTCTATATCTGTGAGTCTGTTTCTGTTTTGTAGATAAGTTCATTTGTATCATATTTTAGATTCCACATATAAGTGATATCATATGGTATTTGTCTTTCTCGTTCTGACTTACTTCACTTAGTGTGATAATCTCTAGGTCCATCCATGTTGCTGCACATGGCATTATTTTATTCTTTTTTATGACTGAGTAGTATTCCTGTTTTTTTTTTTTGGTGTGCGTGTGTGTATATATATTTATATATAGATGGATATATATATATATATATATATATATATATATACCAATCTTCTTCATTCATCTATTGATGGACATTTAGATTGTGAATAGTGGCTTGGCTATTGTGAATCGTGCTGCTATGAACATAGGGGTATCTTTTCTAATTATAGCTTTGTCTATATGTCCAGGACTAGGATTGCTGGCTCATATGGCAGCTCTATTTTTAGTTTTTTAAGGAACCTCCATACTGTTTTCCATAGTGGCTGCACCAACTTACATTCCCACCAACAGTGTAGGAGGGTTCCCTTTTCGCCACACCCTTTCCAGCATTTGTTATTTGTGGACTCTTTTTTTTTTTTTTTGTAGACTCTTTAATGATGGCCATTCTGACCAGTGTCAGGTGGTACCTAATTGTAGTTTTGATTTGCATAGAGAAGAAAAAGACTTGAATTAAATCAGACTTGTTTTCAGAAACAACACAAGGAAGAAGAGAGTGGAGTGAAATACTGTACAGGCAGGCATACTTCATTTCATTGTGCTTCACTGTATTGTACTTTGCAGATTTTGTGTATTTTACATATTAAAAGTTTGTGGCAACCCTACATTGCCAGATGATAGCTAACACTTTTTATCAATAAAGTTTTAAAATTGAGCTATGTAGATTGTTTTTTAGACATAATGCCATTGCATACTTAATAGGCTACAATATAGTATAAACATAACTTTTATACGCACTGGGAAACCGAAAAATAAGTGTGACTCACTTTATTGTGGTGGTCCTGAACAGAACCCCCAATCCTGTATTTAAAGTTTTGAAAGAAAAAAGAACACTTTCTCGGGACTTCCCTGGTGGTGCAGTTGTTAAGAATCTGCCTGCCAATGCAGGGGACACGGGTTTGAGCCCTGGTCCGGGAGGATCCCATATGCCATGGAGCGACTAAGCCCATGCACCACAACTACTGAGCCTGCGCTCTAGAGCCTGCAAGCCACAACTACTGGGCCCATGTGCCACAACTAATGAAGCCCGTGCGTCTAGAGCCCACGCTCCACAACAAGAGAGCCCACTGCAATGAGAAGCCCGTGCACCACAATGAGGAGTAGCCCCCACTTGCTGCAACTAGAGAAGCCCACACGCAGCAACGAAGACCCAACATAGCCAACAATAAATAAATAAAATAAATAAATTTTTAAAAAAGAAAGAATAAAGTATGGTTCTTTAAAAAAACCCCAAAACTCTTAGTTTTCAAATCCCAAAGCTAGTCCTTTGAAAATATTAATTTAATAAAAGTGATAAACATCTATCAAGACAACTGAGAAAAGAAGAAAAACAGAAATTACTAAATCAGAAATAAAAGGAGGAAATAACCATGAAAAAAGATTTGACACCATCCAACATCCATTTATGATAACAAACTAGAAATTGAGGGGAAGGCTCTCTTCTTAAAAAAGAACAACTACACAACACCTGTAGGTAAGATACTGAGTTGTGAGAAGCTGGATGATTTACTGTTAAGAGGGGAATAGGGCAAGGAAGTTTCCTTTCACTGCTCCTATTAAACAATGTACTGGAAGCCCTAGCCAATGCAGTAAGGTAAGAAAAAGAAATAAAAGGTATACAGAGTGGGAAACAACAAATAAAACTTTGTTCCTTATGACATGATTGTTTATGCAAAACATCTGATAGCATCCACAACAATAGAGATAAGCCCTGGAATTAGTAACAGTGTATAGCAAAGTTGAAGGATACACAAGTCAATTGGTTTCCTATAGACCCACACAAATACAGTCAATTGATCTTTGACAAAGAAGTAAAGGCAATTCAACGGAAAAAGTAAAGTCTTTTCAACAGTGCTATAAATAATGGATATTCACATAGAAACACACATGAGCATAAACAAAATGAAAGTTGACACACACCTTACACCTTTCACAAAAATTAACTTAAAACAAATCATATATCTAAATGAAAAAGCAAAAACCTTCTAGAAGATAACATATGAGAAACTACAGGTGACCTTGGGTTCGGTAATAAATTTTTCAACAAGACACACACAAAAAAATCCACAAAAGAGAAAAAATGCTAAGTTTCACTTCATTAAAATGAAAAACTCCCCCTCTAGAAAAAGTGTTTAGAGAATGAAAAGGCAAGTCACACACCAGGAGAAAATCCTTTGTAAAACACTTATCTGATAAATGACTGATACCCAAAACAACCAAAAAACTCTTAAAGCACAACAATAAGATTACAGATACTCCAAATAAAAATGGGCAAAAGATGTGAACAGACAACTCACCAAAGAAAGACAGATGGAAAATAAGGAATTTGAAAACATGCTCAACATACGTCTCTGGGGGATTACAAATAAAACAATGAGCTATCACTACATACTTATTAAATGCCAAAATTTTTGAAACACTCAGAACACCAGCCATTGGTGAAGATGTGAAGCTATAGATAATCCTTATTCATTGTTGGTGGGAATGAAATTTGATATGCCTGTATTGGAAGACAGGAATTTTATGTCAAAACTAAATGCACTCTTACTTCTCATACTAAGATCCAACAATCACACTTGTTGGTATTGACCTAAATGAGTTGACCTCACGATTTCACATTTTCACAAAACCCTACATATGAATGTTTGTAGGCATTTTATTCATACTTGGCAAGGGTTAAGAGTTAAGCAAGATATCTTTCAAGAGTCAAATGGATAAATCAGTGGTATATCCTTACAATGAAATACTGTTCAGTGATAAAAGGAAATGAGGTATCAAGCCATGAAAACACATGGAGGAACCTTAAAAGTATACTGCTAAGTGAAAGAAGCCAATCTCACAAAGCTACACACTGTATGATTCCAAGTGAATAACACCCTGGAAAAGACAAAACTATGGGCCAGTAAAAAGATCTCAGGCTGGGCTTCCCTGATGGTGCAGTGGTTGGGAGTCTGCCTGCCGGTGCAGGGGACACGGGTTCGTGCCCCGGTCCAGGGGGATCCTGCATGCCACGGAGCGGCTGGGCCTGTGGGCCGTGGCCGCTGGGCCTGCGCGTCTGGAGCCTGTGCTCTGCAACGGGAGAGGCCACGGCAGTGAGAGGCCCACGTACCCCAAATAAAAAATAAAAAAAAGATCTCAGGCTGTGAAGGATTTGAGGGTTGGAGGGAGGGATGAATGAATAGGTGGGGCATAAAAGATGTTTAGGGAAGTGAAACTACTGTATGTGATACAGAAATGAAGGACACAGGTCATTAAACATTTGCCAAACCCACAGATCTTATAACGCAGAGTCAATGCTAATGTAAACCATGCAATTTACTGTATCAGTATTTGCTGAGCAATTTTAACAAATGTACCAGTTAAACAAGAAGTAAAAAATAGTGCAAACTGTGGATGCAGAGGGGTTATATGGAAATTCTCTATACTTTCTGATCCATTTTCCTGTAAACCTAAAACTACCCTAAAACAACTGAAGTGTTTTAGAAAAAAAAAGATGAAGACAAACGAATTACAATTCACCCCTGATTTGACTGACTGATGACTGAAACAGGACACCTTTCATTCAACTGATTTGAACTTATTCAATAAGGCAGTATGGTGCTCCATGAGCCTGAGACCAGTAAGAGAGGTAAAACTTCCACTGAATGCCATGTTGAAGAGAACTGCACTGCATATTCTGAGAAGTGCCATGGTTACTATCAATAGTGTCTAGAACTCCAACATGGATGAGGATTGTCCTGGCAAGACCGTGTGTTCTGGACCTAGGGCATGTTAGATGAGATTTACCTTGATTTATATTTTTGCTATCTCTTGAGTTCAAAGGTTCCTAAAATTCTTTTACCACAAAGGGGCAACTCTTAGACAATCGTCCAAAAGTCTGTGAATACAAGTAGATGAGGCCAGTTTTGGTCAGTAGTAAGATGAGACTGCCTGATGTTTGGTTAGTGTGACCCTGGGGTTTGGTCATTCATCAGGGATATCACAATTAAGGGATGAAGAGCAGGAACTCTCCACAGAGCTCATCGTGTAGGAATGCATACTGTCATTCTTAAAGTCTGTGCACACCCAAAAGCTGTGCATTCTGTCAATCCCAGGGAAGCCTCCATCTAGGGAAGTGGTGACCCTTTCCAACACCAAAGCAGCTTTCAAGGGACTGAATAAGGAAGAGGCCACCCTCCTGCAGGAGGCATAGGCCAGGACAGGTTTGACTCCATCATGTCACATGCAGGTTTTGGTAGGCATGCCAACCCGATAGGGTGCTATTTCCAAGGTTAAAGGCATAATGGGCAGCTCAGCAGAGGATCGCATGCTCAGCACTTGTGAGAGCCTCTGTTTTCAAGAGAGCCCGGTATATGGTGATAATTGAAGTTCTAAGGCAGTTCCTTGTACCAGAAGAAGCCTATAGACAACTTAAGGCCATCATGGGTAATTCCAGGAGGCATTAGCCTCTATACTGAGGGAGACTCCAAAGGAACTAACAGGAATG